GTTTCCATGTTCTTGTCCACTATCCCCGTATTGGTGTCCTCCCCACCCCCCCTTCCGTTGATGGTATGGTCCCCTGACCGCACTCCAGGTCGCGATCCTTGTAACTGTCCTCGTCTTTGAGGCCTCGGAGGCGCGATTCTTGTATCCTCTTGTTGTTTTTTTGATGTCGCGGATCTCACAAGTGCCAACAGTCACAGGGATGGTGGGTGTCCAGATCACTATCCTCGTGGCTGTCACTGTTTTTGATGTCCCAGGTCTCCAAGGTGCCAACAGTCACAAGGATGGTGTGTGTGTGTACCAGTCATGACCCACGAAAAGTCATTGTTTCTTGATGCTGCAGATCTCAGAGTTGCTGGTGGTCACAGGGATGGTGCATGTCTCCCACCACCGGCACCACAGGGAGAAGGCGAAAGATCTGACTGACTTCAGCAACGAATCATGACAGTTCGTGACGGAAGACGCACCCACACCACATAATGAGGGAAGTCTGAATGTCTTCAGCTAAAACAATATCGACCGTTCTGGGAGAAAGCACGCCCACACAGCACAGGCGGCAGGGGGCAAGATCTAGACTAATTGATAGCCATAAGAGGAGGAAATTCCACCACATCACAGCTGGGGAGGAGGAAGATCTGCCCGACCTTATCAAAATGCAGGTCTTGATGCTGCAAGGTGACATTCAATTACCAGAATGCTAACAACTGTGGGACTGTAGGTCCTTATGCCAGCGCCATGCCATTGGGAGGGAGAATCATGACAGTTCTTGAAGGAAGGCAACCACCCGAACCACATGCGGAGGTCGGAGGTCTGAATGTTCTCAACAGAGAACACTGCCGACAGTTTTCGGAGAAAGCACGCCCACCACACAACAGGGGGGGAAGGTCTGAATTAGTTCATATCACTGGGAGCAAGGAAACCCCGCCAATATAGGGGGAGGCAGGAAGGGGGAGGAGGCTGGGGATCTGCCAGACCTCAGCAAAATGCAAATGCCCATCACCATACCATACAGTGCGGGGGGAGGGGGGAGAGGGCGGGGCCTGGCCAGAAAGTTCCCTATATAACCCCTAAAATGATCCCTACATGTCCCCAATGAAACCCAATATGTCTCTACTGTACGGTGGCCAAAACTGTTTCGAGTCCGAATCTGGACACACTTCCAATCGTGACTATGGCGTAGTATAGTAAACTCATGTAGGAAGGGTTAGATGTCAACGATGCTTTCTTCTGTCTATGGAAGCCTCATCATGCATATCCATGAGACCAAGACAAACCCAAACGTCAGACACTTCACTTGGGCTGCTTGGGCACACAAACTGCGACTTGTTCCCGGCATCGGAACCTTTCTCCAGAGGAGCCTCAGCCATACTCACGTCTACCGCAAAAGTTCTAGGACTAGAGGTTAAAGAAGCGCAACGATTGGTCCGAGTTAGGCTGCTTGGCTGCTTGCCCTCATAGCTTGTGACTTCTGTAGTAATCCCTGTCCTTCATCTGCAACTGCGTCACATGCAACCCAGCGACATAGCTGAGACTCTTCCCAATGTCTTCCGCAAAATACAGGCCGCTTCCGAAGCGGAAGCCATGTTTTGCATCCTTCTCAAGCAAGCAGCATGCATGGGTTCTTGCTGTCACATTATATCTGTTTGCAAGCAAAACCAAGTCCTTTGGAATGCGGAAGTCAGCAGTGACAATCGCTTCTGCTGATGCTTTGGACGTTCCATGCCAGAGCAGGTGCTCCTCCAAGGACTGGTTGTTTTTGCATATTTAGGGGATAGGGTTTAGGGTTTGCTGCGTGGTGCAAAAGGAACCCAAGACCGGGACCCCTGCAAATTCATTTGCAGAAAATTCATACATGCCTGCAGGAAACGCCTTGACAGAAGCCTGGGTACATATCGGAGGGCGATACAAGGGAAATGATTGTATTGTAACAGGGTATGCAGCGGGTTATATCCTTTCCGCAAGGGTGCCGGGTCCACCCTGTGGCCTGTATGCTGTCATCGAGCGTGTCGATGGAGATTGTGCCAGTAGCCTGCACTCCTGCAATGATCACCCTTAACCTGAAACCGCTAAGCCCCTAAACCCTAAACCATGCAAAGCTTTGCTCAACTTTCTCTTTCCCTACTGCAGCTAAAAGATGCCGTATCATAACATCACAGTCTCTATTTCTTTCCCATGATCACTATATACCCCTACATGGGCTATAGCTTAAACTCCTGGTATCCCCCTTAATAGCCCCTAAAAAACTCCCCTATATAACCCCGGTAAGAGTGTACATTTTTTGTTGTCTGGTCTTTTTTGTTGTTTGGGCTTTTCGGGTGTTTATTTGTTGCTGTTTGGGCGGAG